TCCTGATGTGCAGAAGAACCGTGTGTTGGGCTGAACTCCTCAGCTCTCTAAGCATGCTGTACCCCATGCAGCCGTTTGAGAGACATGGCCACAACTAATTATATAGCTACCAAGAAAAACATAAAACAAAACCAGCAGTTCTGGAGCACAACTGCTTTTTATGGTTGGATAAAATTAAAAAGGTGGGCTGCCCTCGTCTTCCTAGGTTTGTTCCAGCCCAAGCTACTCCCAGAGGAAGGTAGTCTCTGGAGTCACAGTGGACGAGGCTTTTTGATATGGCTGTGCAGACTGGGAGTTTTGTACTAATTCTGGCTATGTCAGAGCTAAATACCCATCTACTTGAGCTGTCAGCCAGTGCTCTTCAGTAACTTCATCCTCATGTGGAAAGAACAAATTAAGTGTGGGAGGAAAAAAAGAGTCTTTCAACTTTGGTTAACTGTCTCAACCAATATCTCTGCCTTTGTTCTTTATTTGTTTAGCATGGTAGCGTAGATTGTACAAGATTCATATGGCACATTGATCAAATAATCAGAAAAAGGACAAATGGGCAGAGACATTGTCTCTGATTTGCATTAAATATCTTCTGCCTGAGGTCTAAATGCCATGGTAATTGTAGCGTACCAGATAGCTGTCAGCTAATCACTTTTATTAGTTTGAATTTTGAAAACTGGATTTCAGCATATTAAAAGTTGGTTAAAAGCAGATAGGTTTTGAATTGAGGAATCTAATTAACCTTGCTAGAAAGCTGCAAGGCGTTATATTAAGTCATGAAAATAATTTGTTGGAATAATTACATTTGAACTCTCAGGCTGGAGAAAGGTCATTTTACTTGGCCCGTCAGCACTCTGGGGTCTTTTCTGTAACCATCCTCCTTCTGCAATTTCACTTGCTGTATCTCTGCTTTTCTATCAAGCCATCTTGATTCTGGAGTCAGCATGGGCATAGTGGAGGTTCCTGGGGAGGGAAGAGGAGTAGGAGCCACTAAAGTTGTCTCTTTGCCCTGGAAATGCCAGCTGGTACTGCTGGCAGACCAGGTGAGCTGAGTTCAGGAGCAGGACAGCCAGCACTTCCATCAGGTCTGTGCTCACTACACCTCTCTGCAGCTTCCCTGGGTGGAAATTCCTGAAGGTGGTTTCAGAGTCGGGGGAGCTGTTACAGCCAGTGATCGCTCATGCAAGCACACACAGCTGGCAGCACGGCATGGTTCACACTGCGTTCCCGGGGAGCCCGGATGCATGGTGAGAGCTGGAAGAAGCATGCTGGAGACACACTTCGGAGCAGCAAGATCATGGTTTGCAGCTGTTTGTTGCCTAGACTTACCACAGCAGCACTATCAGTCACTGGGAAATCCTCTAGCTGCCATTGGCAAGGCAGTGCTTAAGCATGGAAATACCATCACTCAGCATAATAATTAAAAAAACACTGTGAATTTTTAGGAGTTAAACATGCATGCTGGGTATTCTGCCTAACTTAGTTTTGTTGAAAGGCCACACTATCATACTAAGTCTAAGCACCCCCATCTTTGGTGCATGTCCTCTCCTACCCTCCTGCAGATTATGGAGTGACTTATGGAGTGCCTTCTCCTGCGAAGTCCTTGGTAGATCAGCAAATTGAAGTCTCTTAAGTCTAAGCTACTCTTCCTTCTTTGCTGCAAATTCTTTGCTGATCTGTGGTAGTTGGCTGTCTTTAATCAAATCCCTTTTTATTAGAAAGGATTCCCAAATGTGTTATGCACTGTGCAGTAGGGATGGTTTCTCTCTGTCATAGTCCTCCCCATTGATAAATGTGCTATTGTAGATAGGCATGTCTGATTTGCTGAAAAAAAAAAGAATACTTTGTGGAGTGGAAATTGGGTAAGGTTGGGGGAGTAGAAATGGATATTTACAGGAGATGAGGATGAAACTATCAAAATTGTTTGTTGGCCACCATGGGAAATTAAAGCCCTTGATTTTGCATTTAAAAAAAACCAAAATACACACACACAAAGATCACAACTGTTCTGGACCACTGTTTCAAGTCTCATAGAAAGAAACGACTTCTGGCAGCTTATCAGTCTCTATCACCATGCAGACAGTGCTGATTAAGACTGGAAAAGTGCCATTGGGGCCCCTCATCTCCTGTTGCCTTCTGGACTATGTCCCAGCTGAGTCACTCCCCACAGCAGAGGAGTTTCCCTGATGGGTGGGAAGAAACTTTCTCTGGTATTTTACTGTAAGCGCTCAGAGCGACCAAAGGAACCACCAGTTTTATGTATTGGATAACGTAGCAGTCTCCTTTTGTAGTTCCAGTGTGCTATAGGGATGCACATGGGGAGAAGAGAGGTACTAAGATGGTCCTGTTGAAAATACTCAGTTTGTGCAATAAAGGGACCTTGATTTGTCTCAGAGCTGATAATTCAGGTTATGTAGTTTTCTTATGTGTATTTGCTGTATGCCCTGAATTTGACAATGGGAGGGGTGGTGCAGTTAGGCTGAAGAGCAAGGCCAACAAGCAGGATGCTTGACTTCCTTTTCTGCTTCTCATCCTGACCTCTTGTGAGACCTGTGGCAGATCATTTTACCTTTGCAAACTCCTTTTTTTCCCCTTTCACCCTATTTGCAGGGCACTTAATCTGCATAGTCCTTCAGACAGGAGCCGATTAACAGCAGCAGTTGTATGAGTGCCCTCCACAAAGAAGCCTTCATGTCCAATTGTTCTTTGAGATGGTGTGTCACAGTTAAGACTAAAGAATGATAAGTATTGAATCTGTCAAGTCTCTG